CGATCTGTCAAACTTGCGATGGTTTGTGTGCAACCGTCTGCACATATTTTCCTGGTGAGTTTTTGCGGTCGGTGGGTAGGCGCTGATTTAATCATTATCTAATCGGAAGAGGGGGGTGTAAACTTTCTGTGAAACAGAGCACTTAGAAGCGCGTCGGTGGTAATTTATCGAAGTGGAGTTTGGTGGAAATGTTTTCTGACGTAAAATTCTTGCTTACGTGAGCTACTCAGTGTTATTGTATAATTTACTAGTCAACGAAACCAATATCCCATAATATTATGATGTTATGTGTTAAATGATTGTTAAATATAATAAGAAGCATGTAGCGTGGGTACAACATAAGATTTGAATTAATTAGCCGTGCTCTGCCATCGAATATAATGCCGTCAGCCAGCTATTTCTGGAAGATGTAATATCATATACGGAGACCAATCTCAGCCGAAAGAGAAGAAAATACGGGTGATAAACGTTGCGCCCAGAAACTCCCGTACGACGTTCACATTCATTCAGTAAGCCCCAATTACTGCAGCGTGTTTGGTCGCGACGCGACGAGAAAATGTCGGATCTTCGCAAAAGAGCTCGGGCGATCGTGCGCGGCGCGGCGGAAGGGGCACAGACGCGTGTATCGCGTATTACCGAGCGTATCGCGAGTGGGGCGCTGCCGAAATAGCCCGTGCGCCTGAATCAACGCGGCCGGTGACACGGGGCGCGTCCAAATCCCGCGGCCTTCCCGACCCGCTGGACCAACCCCGTCCACGGGCCGGAGTCGGTGAACAGGAACGCGTGGCGAAGTAACGTTCCTTCGTTTATTAACCCGCTTCAGATCGAAACTGAAATGTGATGTTTGAAAATTGATGATTGGAAATATGGTGTTCTGTTCGATACAAATAAGGAAAACAAATGTCAGTTATTTATGGTGGAGTTTTATTCGAGGTTTGTTTATATCAGTCGTTATAATGTCAATATTAGTTCATAATTCATTTTAAACGGAAGTGCAACTATAAAGTAAAACATTTAAAAAAATGATATGTAACAGCGATGATATGTGACATTGGCAATGATATTTAACAGTTAACGAGTTTAGATTTATTTGAGTGACTTGATGGCGCCGTAGAATTATGTATGTTTGTCACTAAAATAAATACTCCTTTCGAAATTCTCATTGGTATTGTATGTGGGAGATTAGTTGAATTTTCGGGTATGAAATCGGCGACCATGGGAAATCCCTCTTCATTTCTCTTCCAAGGTTTCTTACCGAGGTCCCACCTTGTTTGTACCCGCTTCCTCACTGCCTTGCCACAGTTCCGGTGAAAGCAATTGAAAGAAATACAAAATACTCGTATGTGTAATTGTGGAGACTAATCACTTCCTTACTATTACGCGAATATAAGTGTGATGAAATTCAGCTTGCTAATTTATTATTGTGCAAAACGCCAATAAAAATGTGTTGGCAGTGCATTTTCGATTGCGTTAACTGGATGAAGAAATTGTTAGCTAATTCAGTTCTGCCAATTATAAAATTCTACATTGTGTTGTGTTTCGATCATCGGTTCAGGAGGGAAACTATAGGTAGTGTACAATATTTTTTCCCGTGTACTATGTTATTCAATAAGACTAATTATTATGGTCCGTTGTTCTATGGTAGTGTTTACCCACGGATATTCTCTATTCATTCTTTCTAACAAAGTGCCTTTGTAAGTTAATTCTCATTATCCGCAGAAGCCAGAAACCGCAGAAGGAACGTGAAACGCAACGTCTGTGGTATAGTTTCGCCGTAATATTTACCATAAATTAGCGTAATTAAGTAGCCAGGTTGCCGCAACCTCTGGAGGTTTTGCGGTTGATAGTATATGGGCAGTTGAGTTCATTAGTGGGATTAACACCCTCTGTAACGCCCGTGCGTCTATTGCGTTAACATTTATTGCGGTGTCGTTATTGTCGCATGTGTTCAAAAGCTCCCGCCATTTTCATTTTCGCGGTGATAATTTTGTTTCGGAAACTCGCTCTCAGTATATTTGGAATATGTTCGTAAGAGGACATCATACATGTTTCAACTGCGTGTCTCAGGTTTCATTTTCAGCCCAAGAAAGTTAATACCACCTGAATTTCCGGTATTAATTTTTGTTATACTACTACCCATAATTGTTTTATTTGTAGATGCTGTTTCTTTTCTGGTAAGAGCTTACATTCGAGGGAGAACTTTTATAATTACGTATTGTCTTTTCCACTTATGTATTATCGATCAGGAAATTTTTGACGTGAATCTGTTATTAAATGAATAAACTATTTTATAGAAATTTTCAGGTACTCTCTCGGCCTTTCGTGGAACTTATCATGTGGGAACCGTATGTTGTTTATTTCTGTTGTCACCCTTCCTTTTTTCCCACGCTTTAACGTTCACTACCTATAATCAGCCGGGATAGTCGGTTAGGAGGCTCCTCTTATCGTTGTGCCTACGCGTTCCTTTTCTGCTCCGATCACATCTAGCTGCCCACTCCCCTGTGATCCGCCCACCGCCCATCTCTCATGCCCCTAGCCTTCCATTGTAACCTGTATTACAACATACCCCTCAATGTCTCGCATTTTCATCACCTCTACATAACCACCATCAAGTTCGTCTCTGCGTTCCCGCCGCCTCATCACCACTCTGACCCGCTCTCATCTCCTGCCGCCGCCCTCCTTCACTCCCTCCCTCCCACGCGACCGAGCCGCGCCCCGCGGCCACCTTGCAATTAAACGCTCAAAAGCGTGTTTGAAAAACACATCGCGCGGCCCTCAAAGAACCGCGGTTCGCGTGTTTTGCCGACGGCCGATGCTCTTATTATGTTTCTAACACTTTAATTGACAAAATATATGGCGGCTGCGCGCACACTTGTGGCGGCGGCGTCCACGGCGCGAGACGCGAGTTATGAAGGACGATTTAACCCTCTCCCCGA